CGCCTGCACCTTCGCCCTCTACGGCCACGATCTCAGCCGTCAGATCGAGACCCACCATTTTTCCGCCCGGCTCAACCAGGATGTCCTTCAGTGTGCTGTTTATGATTCCGATCAGCCCGACGCCCGTCTCATCGGTCTGTTCTCTCTATCACTTACTGTTCTTGTTTTGTACATAGGTAGTCCGGAATGATATACGGAACATTTCATTTTGATACTCATTAACCCAACAAGCCTGATGTAGCATATACGAGCTTGATGTAGCATATACAAGCTTGATGTATTGGACCAGATGCACTGGATACTTTCTCACAGTTAAAAATTTTCATGCTTAATCGTGAATCCTCAGTTGAATTACTTAAATATAAGAACACGACCTCTTAGCGGTCTCTAGTGTCAGAGTTTAGCCGGACTGGGGAATACAGGTAAGAATGACCTTTAGATTCTCTCACTAATTATTCCCGGGTTCTCTCTTATAAATTCAATGTCAGGCCATCTATTTTTTACTTTAATCAAAATTGGATTAAAAAAAAACTATGAGATCAACTGATCTTTGGCAAGAAAATGAATAGCTAGAGGGGGATGCATAATGTTTTGTTCCCGATTTTTTGATTAAGAAAAAAAGAGGGTTAATTGTGGATCGACTCCCTGTATTATTGCCGAATTGAACTTACTATTAGATTAAACCCTTTCAACGAGTCTATATACAATAATAGAACTCTAGTAATCTTTCAGAAGTTACTATCTTCAATATATTGTACTGCAGGGATATTAAGTTCAATTTGTCGAAGTGTAGGGGGTCTGTTCTTTCAACAGTCAATTCTGTTTAGCTCCGTATGAATCTCTACCAAAAAAAAAAAAAATACGACGAACTCCACAAATATTTGCATTAGATTATTATCATTTATTAAGCGCAACAAACAACATTTTAATGTGATTCAAATCGTAATGCATTATTTGGTCACATATATACACCCATGTTAATTTCTAACTGAACACCTCGTAAATTCTCTCTTGGTGTCCAATAATTACCGATTTCTTATGCGGGATACTGACTTTCTTTCGCAATATTTTATGCAATCGACATTCTGTTCCATCTCTCTCGCAGGCGTCGAGTACATCATCTCATACCGCCTCTTCGAGGGCCTCCCTCAAGAAGAACAAAAGCTCTGGCACTCCCACGCCTACGAGGTCAAATCCGGCCTCTGGATCAGCCCCCGCATCCCCGAAACCCGAAACCATCCAGAGGCCCGAGCTCCAAATGCTCGCCAGAACCTACGGAAAGTTCTGGTGCACCTGGCAGACGGACCGCGGGGACCGCCTTCCCCTCGGCGCCCCCGCCCTGATGATGTCGCCGCAGGGCGTGAACGCGGGCATGGTGCGCCCGAGCCTGCTGAAGAGTAGAGATGACAAGTATAGGATATCGAGCGAGGAGCTGAGGGAGGCGAGGCTGGAGATGGAGGAGCCGGATCAGTGGATAAATCCGAATGCGGATTATTGGAAGCAGCATGGGAAGGGGTTTGCTGTGGATGTTGTGGAGACGGAGATGAAGGCTCATGCCCCTTTCCCTTGAGCTCGCACGTTACGTTGTTGTGTGGTTTTGTTTTTGGATTTGTGCTTATTTTGTGTTTGTGTTTGTGGTAAGTAACAACTTGAACAGTGTATTTCCTACTATGTATGTTAGAAGTTTGAGTCAGGTCTTTGCTGATCCAATGCGTCCTCTTTCGTCAGTAACTTGTTGTTTAGTTGGGGATTTCATCGTTTGTGAGTGGTTGCAGATATGTAACATAAATGTAAGTTAATTATGTGCATGCAAATTCTGATGAGCAGCCATTACGCAAATAGAGCATGATTATTATAACGTACCGTTCATAACAAGATAAGCGCACAACCTTGTTATAGCATACCGTCTTGTTTGACCCCTACTTTTTAAGTTATCTCTAAATTTGTTCCTCTAATCACAAGGGCTGAAGCACAATTCAGGCGGAAATTAGTTTCTCAAATTATTGAAACTGTGGAACTTATTAGCAATTATTAGCGATTTTAATGATTTAAGGGGACTAATATTAGACAAACATAGAAACACATCCAAACTTATTGCGAGGGACATTACTATAAATCTTATCAGAATTGACTAATTTTATCAAAGCCGAAACTCACTGCGAGCTTATAAGAACTGACTAATCTTATCAGAACTGACCGCATGCGAGCAGTTGGTTGTGAGCCGATGTAACCGTCAGGAAGCCTACTTTTTTGGGACAATTTGTTGGACTTATCATCTATTTCAAGAAGTAGGTGCTCAATTCTCTCTTTCCCCCCCTTTCTTTTTGATATGAATCTCATCCTAAATATAAAACCTCAACAATTTTAAGTATTTACTCCATCCACTGAGATATGCTACTTTATTATGTTAAAAATTATTAATTTGCTAACACATGCAAAACCCAAATTATCCGGATCCGGTAAAAAAAAAAAATCCTCCAAAATTGACTTCAAAGCCTTTCTCCACTCTCTCTTAGCAAGCATACTCTCTCTCTCCGTCAATTCTCTAATGGCGGATCAAGAGGACGTGTACTCAGTCTGGGCCTTGCCGCCGCCGGAGGTCAGCGACCGGATCAAGGCGCTGACGGCGACCCTCCGGTCGGAGTTCGGTGGGCCCCAATTCGACCCGCACATCACCGTCGTCGGAGCGATCAGGCTCACCCGCGAATCCGCGACCCGGTATCTCAGAACCGCATCCGAATCGCTCTCCCCTTACGCCGCACGCGTCGCCGCCGTCGCACGCGGGTTCTTCTACCAGTGTGTTTACCTCCTCATCGAGCCGACCCCCGAGGTCGAAACCCTAACTCCTCATCTTGTTTTTCTGCATAAAAGCACTTGCGAGTTTATAGGAATTTTGCATGGACCCCTAGTATCATATTAACATTCAATTGTTCCGAAAATATTCAGCAAGGTTATAAAGTTTCAGTGGTATTTCTATGGTACTATATATACTGCTACACGAAATTGCTAGGGGGGCAAATAGATCGAATAAAGCATTTGTATTCGAACTCAGAGAAAAAGGAAGAGGATTGCTTTGAGGGGGCTCCGATAATGGGTAAGGGTTTTCTTTCTGCTTTTGTTTTGTTTTCTGAAGGAGATCGATCCTCCTTTTATAGAGGCTAACCCCACTATCTCCACCCCCTCAAATCCGCCCCTTCAGAGATATTCTCTCAACAGAACCCATTTTCTTTCCACGTTCTTCTCAAACGAACGTTGATTTGGTCATCTATGACCAGGTCAAGCTAACATCTCCCACTTGACCAAATCAACCAAGTGATATGCCTTCCACTATCCGTGAGATCAGATGTTTCTGCTTACCATTACTCCCACTATCCGTAGAGAGTAACTCTTATTTTATTATTCATGAAATTTTATTTGGACTTATTTATTCCTAAGTCCCATCAAACTTACATGTTTGATAAAAAATTCTGCTGGTATTCCTTTTGTCAAAGGATCAGCAATCATATCTGTAGTAGGGATATAAGTCACTTTGACTTCTCCCTTTTCTACAATATCTCGAATATAGTGATACTGAATCTCAATATGTTTTCCTTTGGAGCTATTCGCACCACTATTGATTAAGCTAATTGTTACTTGATTATCACAATAAATATCAATAGGTCCTTCCAACAAATTGAGATCAAGATCAATCAAAAACCGTCTTATCCAGACAGCATGTGTAGTTGCCATACTGCAAGCTATATATTCAGCTTCTTGCGTATATCTAGCAACACACCCTTGTTTCTTGCTACTCCAAGAAACAGCTCCTCCTCCAAAGATAAATAAGTGTCCCGAAGTGGACTTTTCATCATCTTTATCACCTCCGAAATCAGCATCAGAATAACCGAGGAGTTCAAGCGAATCATCTTGATAAACTAATCTATGAGTCAATGTACCTCTGATATACTTCATAATCCTTTTAGCTTCCCAATGTGCTGGTCCTGGATTACTTTGATATCTACTGACTAGACTCACAGCATAAGCTATATCAGGTCTGGTGCACAACATTGCATACATCAAGCTTCCAATTGCTTGAGCATAAGGAACATCTAATGGCTTCTGCCCCTCTATAGGGTTTTGCTCTTTACATAATCTCTTTCCCATAACCAACGGAGTTGGTGCCGGATTGGAATTCACCATTCCAAACCTTTTAAGAACTGATCTTAAATATTTTTCTTGGTTTAAACTTAGCATTCTAGACTTTCTATCTCGAATTATTTGAATTCCAAGAATATATGATGCATCTCCCATGTCTTTCATCTCAAACTTTTCGCTGAGATTTGCTTTGATTTTATTCAACATTTCCATGTCATTTCCAGCGAGCAATATATCATCCACATATAATGATAATATAGTAAACTTGCTGTAGGCGTCAAAAAATGCTAATAGATATCCCAAGCATAGAGAAGATCACTCAAAAATTCACAAGAAAGGATTCATCACTGTTTTGGAAAATCAAAACAAGTCATGAAATGTCTCCCAGCGAGACTCAAGTCTTTGCTTGTGTCTCGCCCAGCGAGTACTGAGTCTTTGTTTCATCGCCTAGCGAGACAGTGTTGTTAAAATAGCTTCAAAACTACATTTGCTTACATCTGCCCTACACGTGCTCGTCATTAACTGCCAAGGGTACCGTGTTGAAACATTTGTAGCGAAATCACTGGCATAATCTGCAATAATAATGGAGTTTGAAACGTGATTGTTGAGGACTAGTTTACAGCGAGGATAACTGCCTATTTTCCGATGATCAGTATTACTGTACTCGTGACGCCGAGACAGCAAATGTTTACTGTCTCGCAGGGGTCGCAGATTCAGCAAACGCTGTTCTCGCCGCGGAGATCAGTAACACTGTGCTGGCTTCGTACTAACTTTCTTCGATTGTTAAGTTTTTTGCAGGTTACTGGACCCTTGGGCTATAAAATACCCCCCAGTCACTTTCTGATCTGAGTATCGAGATTTGTTTTGAGGCCATTCCAGAGCTAGTAGAGTGAGCCCAGAGATTTGAGTTTCTTTTCTTGCTAACGCCTTGATATTAAGCGAACATGGGCTATAGATCCCCACTTCCTGAGATGACTCAAATTAGGTTTCCTCCCATTCCATAATTCATAAGGTGTAGATACTACTGATTTGGTGAGAATTCTATTTAAAATGTAGTTAGCAGTTAATAATGCTTCTCCCCAAAAGTTTTTAGAGAGACCAGAATGAGATAATATGCATCTAACTACATTAAGTAATGTTCTGTTTTTTCTTTCAGTAACACCATTCTGTTGTGACGTATACAATATTGTTGTATGCCTTTTAATTCCATGTTGAATACAATAACTTTCAAATTCTTTAGAATTATATTCTCCACCTCTATCAGTTCTTAAAATTTTGATTTTCAATCCAAGTTGATTTTTAACTTTTGTCTTATATCTCTTAAAGCACTCAAAAGCTTCTAATTTTCTAGATATAAGATAGACGTGTGCAAACTT